AATAAGTTTAATTATCATATAGAAGATTATTATATTAATAAAAAATTAACTTTACATAGTAAAATACTTAAAAAATTATTATTAATAATTAATGAAAATCTTTAAAAAAAATAGTTAATTCTAATAGAATACATGCTAAGGAATCTTTTTATTATAAAACTTTTTTTGATTTTATATATTCAAAAAAAAGTTTTACATTCTTGATAAAAACGGCAAAAAAAAACGCACCACCACTTTGGCGGATCGACATGGATTATAGATGTTATTTCGGATTGCATGTAAGTGAAAATCAGGTGATCAACGATTAGCGATGCAAGTGGTGCGTTATTTATGCGGGCCACTGTATTGATTAAAGTAGAGCTTAAATTATGCACTTTGTATGTGTCTTCGACATATAGAGGCAGTAATCGTCTTTTGAGACAGGTCTAGGAGCCGATTGAACCCTCCCAGTGTGAGTGTGAAAAAGCTTCACTTCATATTTTTTCTATTTCTTCTAATATCGGGTGTGATCGATATTCGTATGTGAAATGTAGAAGTTTCGATAGACTTTCGTGATTTTCTTATCAGACTGTGTCCATGCATTGAGAATTACCGAGCTATACTACAAGAATCCACCAAGAAATATTGATTTCTTTACTATGTTTATATTTGGTTTGACACTAGCATACCAGCTCCCGTCAAAAAATAATTGGTAATATAATATTTTGTCGATAAAGCACAAAATCCAGCTCGAGACGCGTGTATCTACCAAGAGCCAATCACGTTAATACATTCAATCTCATTGGATCTCAGAAGATTTTCTCGCCAGTGATCTTAAGTCGACTAATTACTCGAAAACTACCCTCGCGAATATAGAGTTACTTTTCTTGAGAAGTTTATGAAAAAAAAGACAGCAAAGACGAACCATTAAGATGATGTTGAATCGTAGACTACTTTCTTCCAGTACTGTAAAAACAAATACCTTTACACTCAATTTGGATACTTTTTCTAATCTTATATCAGATGCAATTTGTAATTATTTATATGAAAGCAATATAAAATCGAATTCCAGCTCTAGTAAATCTTTACCACCGCAAAGCATTCAAGCAATTCCAAATTCTTCCGAAATACCAACAAAATTCTTGCATTTATTATAGTCTGAAATTTTTAGTCTTGCTAACCAAACCTCTGAAGTTCGATCCGGAAGTGTGGGGTTAAAGATGGATTCCTAAACTACCTGGGAGGGACATAACTATAACCTAAACTAGTTTCAGTTATGTCCCTAAACTAGTTTCGGCTATGTCCCTAAACTACGTCATTAGTTTCAGAACCCATCTTTATGTGGATCACGACCTCATGTTAATATCATCGAATCAGGATAGAAGATTTGGTGCTTTATAATAACTATACAGCAAATTTGCAGTTGTGGAAACAGTTTGCGATATAGACCTGCTTCTCAACCTCAGATAATTGGTTTTATAAATGATTCCGCGATCATTGTGGCAACAAGTAGAAGCTGATAAAAATTCCCTACGACGTTCCAATAGCATCCAAAAGATAAGCTTTTTATCGCTAATGAAATGATGAAAAAGGTAGCAGGTGGTATTCACCTCGATGACTATAAATATGTTCTTGAACCGCAATGCTTTAAAAATGCTTTTGGAGAGACAATAGTAGATTTTTTTGATCTTGTCAATCTCTCAGTTGCAAAGTCTGCACGAGTTGCAGTGGATCGGTATTATAATCATAACCTCAACCATTCATCTCATCAATCTAAACAATTTTCAAAAGACCTAATAGAATATTTTGGCTGTTTCACCGACAGCAATAATGAGCTCTAAATCAGCATAAACACTGCTTCCACCCATTGCAGAGAACATCAGGCGTGCGTTCGGGAGTTAATCAAAGGACTTAAACCCGTCTCCAATGCAATTAATGACTATTTTGATAAAACATACACAATCCTATATGCCAAAATGAAGAAACTCGGTCTTGGACCCAATGTTCCTAGATTTTTGGAGCCTTTCCTACCATATCCATCAATTTTAATACTATCTTAATACTATCTGCCATTTTCATCGAGATTTGAAAGACCATCACAACACACTCTGTGTTGTCTGCCCTCTAGGGACATTCGAAGACGGGGAATTAACTTTTCCCGAGCTAAAGTTAGCCATTGATGCTAAACAAGGACAAGTGATGGCTTTTCGCTCATGCCTTTTAATCCATGGAAATCTTCCGATCGTTACTGGGGCTCAACATAGTATTGTCATTTATATACACAATACCATAATCAAACAAAAGCGGATGTTCTGTTCTCTTTTTATTGATCACGATTTAGGTGGAAATAATATTGATAACGAAGATGAATCATCACCAAAATACTTTCCTTCCAAGTTAGGTCCTCGAGATTCGAAACTAAAATTGAAAAATTCGAGGCGAAGTCATCTGGGTAAATATTGATGTGTATATCGAATTTTAGGTAGAACATGCATGCATTGCTAATTATCTATCGACTCGAAAGATCTAGAACCGGCGAGACGAGGCCTTTCGACGCAATATATGTCAAAGACACTGGGCTCTGCCCATAAAAAATAATGAGGTATATATGTATAATGTAATATAATAAAGTTCTCTATCGGACTATGTCCATGTATTCCTTGCATATATTTTTCCGATGCACATCACACTCGCATACATACACGGTTAAAAATAAAAGTCCGATGTGGGCAAGGTTTATCGTACATATGTAAATTATGTGTAATGTATATATGATGACCAGGGTATTTCGATTGATTCATCATACTAAACCGAACCTTATAATGCGTTTCTTCCAATCACATATCGATCACGGTTCAACTCACATAATCGAGACGAGTATTTTAATATCAATTTCACTAAAATCGAAATCGAAAAAACCACTCGAGTCAAATTCATCTCAACAAATAGACCGCAAGAAACTTTACCCGACAAGCAACTAGTATGAAGAGTGTAGAATAGTCGAATCAATCGAAGAAGATAGATCAACGCTCCAGTTTACAAAATCCCGATGGATCGAAAGCTCCCCCGAGAACCGTACCAAAAAATAAACCTCGTAAAAGATCCCGCAAAGGCAACGTGATACCATTGCTCGTACGCATTAAATATTATCAGTCTAACACCTGAACATATACCTAACACTACAGATAATTCGCAGATACAGATACAACCCGAAACATGTTCCAAGTGCTCTGAAGAAGTCTCTCCATGACTTTCGAAGTTACTCGTATTATTGTCATGTAGACATGTTGACATGTTGTGCATTTTGAATGCATTGGTGGAGCCAGCTCTGCTAATAATAAACGCAAATTGTGCTCTGAATGCCCAACAACTGGTGATGAAGGATGTTATATTACACCTAGTATTTCTGTTCACAAAACATCCAAAAGAAAAGGTGGTTGCAAGAAGAGGGTACTCGTAAAGGTAAGCCTAGTAGAGGTACAAACCACAAGCCATCATTCGAGAGTTATCCATCAACGTTTCAATTACTTATGAGCCATCAATCAGCGTTCCTTTCGAAATATAGGAGAAATATAGAATCAATCCCATCACCCGTATTATGGAGTTGATATTGCTGAAAAGAAAGGTGATAAAGCGAAGCAATTAAATGTTATATATTTTCGGTTTGGGAAAGCCCTATCAGAACGCCTCGCCGTATTATTAAAGAACAACCCTCCGCAAACAGCGCATACAAAAATTAAACAATGAAGTTAAAGAGCATCTTCCAAAAAACCTTAATATGATATTTTAGTAGCATTGGGGGAGATAAGATTTGGCGGGTTAAATCAATTTACTGCATCTAGCTTTTAGGACTTAACTAGAAATGAGGTTAAATATATCATGGAAAATTTACTTTTCACGAATAACAAGTTACGATGGAATGTTCAGTCATTTTATTCGTGATCAGATAAAGATAACAACCCTAGCGTCACCCGGAAAAAGTGGTGGCCGGATTTTTTTCTGGGTTACATGTGACTAATCGCCAGTTACGTATTACTGTACGCCTTTTCCATGTTTCGTTTACTGAACTGTATTTGGGAGTGCAGTGGGCGCTCGTTAGAGTAACATGTATTCAATGCAATTACCCAAAAATACGTACGTATTGTTTTGACACTATAAATAAATTAAAATTGTCCAATGAAAAACCATGCTACAGTTTGGACCAATTAAGTTTTATTTTAGCCAATTTTCCAAAAATAGGAAAAAATCGGTATCTAAGGAAATTTTAGCAACAGTATGTCGATATCAGATGTACATGTATTAGTTTTTACTTCATTGTTGTAAATGACTCGAGCATTTTATAACCAAAAAATTAATTGCTGATTGTCTCGACATACGTATAAAGTCATATTTACATGGTTATGAGAAATTTTCAACACGTCGTGAAGTGCAAGACGAATAATTTTCAAACAAAAACAGAAAAACAGGTGGGCAAACCTATAAATCTAGATTATAATGGCAAGGAACTTTCATTGAAAGATTAAAATTTTAAATTTTCAATAGCGTGCTTTGAAGTTTTTCGGTCGAAGCACTTGTTAAAAGATGCGGTTGGATATTAATGCTAAAATTCCCAATTACACGATCCATTCTAGCAAGAAACAGAAAATCTGACCCACCTTGGATTCTAGGAGTTCTAAACTAGAAAGGGTAACCAAAGTCAGATGCCAATTGTGACAAAAGGGTTGACACGTGAAACTAGCTGGGCCTGTTGATGCATGGATAGTGATTTGCAGCCATTGCTCCTATTTATATACAGCGAACAGAAAATTCAAATATATTGAATATGGATATCGACTACAATTCGCCATTTTAAACTTAACCATACAAGTATGTCATGATGAGTTAAAGATGATAAGTTCAAGGAAACTTGTGATTGGTATATTGAAAGAAAAATAAGTTGAATTTGATATTATAAAAGTGTATCAAATGGTTTAAGTGGCGCTTATATTCATTTTACGCTAAAAATAAATCTATGTAATTATCTAATCAGCCGTAGTGGTATTATAAAGTCGATTACCAGTATCGGTGGTACCAACTCCTTTATACTTATTCATCGATGTCCTAAGCGCATAAAATAAGACCTCAGGATACTCGAATGGTAATTTTTTAGCTGTGACATCTTGCATAACGCCAGTAATAACAATGATCTTTCCACGAAATTGATGAAACCGAATTAAATAATTCAGAATATCTCGCATGGTGTTTCCCTCATTTATCACAAAATCCACCACGAGTATCCTCTCCAGATGACCTACGTACTTATCCAAATCAATATTTTTGTTATGGTGAATAAATGATGCATTCGGCATGAATTTCCAAACTCCCTTAGCCATTGGTTCACCTGCGCGCATCATTGCCACGATTCCAGTTGCTTCTTCGTTTTCTAACGCGAATCCATTTGTCACGGAATGTCCTTGCACATGATCTATTGATACAGAAATAATCTCGAGATCTTCCACAACTTTGCTAGCCATGAAATATCCTATGTTTTCGTGTATATTGCAAAGGTCAAGGTTACAGATTTCTTTGCGTCGTGAAACCGTTGCGAGAAGCCTTGACGCGTGTGAGAAAGTGTACTCGAAAATGGTTGACGGATAAATTAGGTTGGATAGGATGGAATCGAGTGAGACGACAGGGATTTCGTCATTTTCTTCACCTTCACTCGGTCCATTTGGAAACAAAATCTTTTTTAGTTTTTTCTTTAAGTCTAAGTATTTCTGTTCATTAAGTCTCTTTCTTAGAGCTTTGTTGTTGGTATAATCCACAACCAAAAAGCTTTCATCCGCCAATTTCAACATTTCTAAATCAACTTCACTATCTCCGAATGCCATTATCTTGGAATCCGGATAAAGTTCCTTCAATATTTCTACGCATTGGCCTTTAGATTTAGCATGCATTATATATTCTTCGCCACTTGGAAATAGATTGCCTCCGAGTGAAAAAATTTTGTCGCCAAAGTTTTGCTCGAGTAAAGCTTGCCAAACGTTTGCTATGCCCGAAAAAATAACAATTGGAACTACAGCGTTCGAAGGTGAAGAGAGAATAGCTTTGAGAAAATTGATAAACTCAGGATGCAATTCTGTTTCTTCGACAACTTTTTTGCAGAGATACTTATACAAGCGTTCATCTAGGCTGGAATACTTGCAAGCAGTTTGCAAGAATGCAGAATAAGTGTGCCCATGTATCTTAAAGTTTTCTCTAAAATCATCGATATTGGAGTTCGTGGATGCATGATACTTTTCCCAAAACAATATTCCCGTATCATTCTTACAAAGTGTCCGATCCGCGTCAAGTAGTAAGAATACTTTGGGTTTTATATTTAGCTTTGAGGTTAATTTCTGGACTGCAGCCTTAAGTTTGATTTCATTATTAGTTTCAGTTTGTGTACGAATATTCTTGATAAGTTCTACCAAAATTTCTAGATTAGAGCTTTTATCAGGTAAAGGATAGAATTTGTGAAATATAATGCCGGACTCGACGCAATTCGATCCCAATTCTTTCTTCTCGTAATCTAGCCACTGTTTGATCTGTTCAACTGTCAAAAAAGGACGATCTGATCGTAGTTCCGCATCTTTTTTGAGTCGACAGTAAGCATCACCTGGCGAAATATCAATGTAAATGATGTCTGTATAATAATCACGATCAGCATCAGTCATGACCGATTCGAAGGATACTTCTTTTGTGGATGATACCTTGGCAAAACTAAAATGGCCGGTGACAATGACGTCGTCGGTAAGTTCTCTTAGCCATTCGATAGCCTCGTTGCGAAGTTTTAATTTACTCTCTGGGTCGAGTTTTTTGAATTTCTCAAGGGTCGTATTGCGAGTGACAAGTTCCGATCCTTCGTAAGCGTGATTGAAAATTTCTTTTAAGCCATTGAGTATAGTTGTTTTGCCAGCACAGTTGATTCCGTAGATACCGATTCGTTTCTTAATCATTTTTGTTGAGGGCTACGTGATTTCGGTATATTGCGTTGAAATAAATTATAAGAATTTAAAACTATTCGTGCTTCTTATTGTTAAGAAATGAAACAATAAATATTAAATCATAGTTTGATGTATGATTAATATTTCAGAGAAAGTGCACTCCATACGTTAGAGTGTGAAAGAACAATTCATATCAAGTTCGGAGTATAAAATCAATGTGTAGCTATGTGTAATCACTCATGACCATGTATAAAAACTTTTTGATGATCGTTCATTACTATACTAAGAAGAATGTACACTCGACATACATTTGGTGTGACTTTAATCGCCTACCGCGCGCGATGAATTAAGATTTAATATACATATTGGTTCGTTAGAAAGCTTATAAAAAAATTGAAATTATTTCTCTATATTGAAATTCTTAAACTTCTTAAGAAATATTTCTTATTTTATGATAAAATAAAGATAAGAACCTGCATTTTAAAATAAAATTCTTATTTTCAGAATTTTTAGAATCAATTTTGAATAATTTTATGATTAAAGTGATTATTATAATGTTAGAATATAAAATTTAATAATAAAAGTCTCTATAATCACTTTATAATTATAAAATTATTTAAAATTGATTAAAAAAAGAATTTTATTTAAAATATAGGTTTTTATCTTTATTTTATCATAAAAATAAGAAATATTTCTTAAGGAGTTTAAGAATTTTAATATAGAGAAATAATTTCAATTTTTTTATTAAAATTTTAGCTTTTTTACCTTCATTTGAAAGCCTGAAATTTTAGACTTCTAACGAACTAATATATAATTACATTAAATCTTTATTCATCATGCGGTAGATAATTAAAGTCATATCAAATGCATGTCCGATTTTTTGTTTACCAGTATTCATGCATAAATTTATTAAAAAATCTATCACACTGCAAAAATGACACAAATTATAAATATCACCACAAACAGATCCTTTAAAATCAACTCTTTGCTTTATACTCTTATACAACTCAATATATATCTCTCTTGTTTTTATCATATACATATATAAAACATAAATCTCTCAAAATATAATACTCTTGAAGATATGGTTCAAGAATTTAATTGAATTATGTATTCTTTATCAATATTAAACCAAATCTAATAAATCTAAATTTCTAAATATAATATAATTACATAATCTCTATAAATCACTTAATCATTAAATATAACTTATACTGATAATTGTTCAGTTTTAAACAATATTAAGTGGTTTGATAACTTTCAATTTCTAGTAATTTGTGATAAAAAAACTCTATCTGACTGGAAAAAATTAGTTGATGAATTATAGAAATAGTAATTACTTAATTGATAATAAAAAGTAATATTTTATTATAGAAGAATATAAAAATAAAATATTTGTTATAGTAAATATAACAATATATTATAGCTATAATAAACTTGTTTATATTAATAGAAGAGTTGATTATAAGTATTATTACAATTATAAAATAGAAAAATATTAATATACAAATTATACTAGAAATAAATATTGTAATATTAGCTTTAAAGAGTATATAAAACTTGAACAATAATCAAAGTTAAATATAATATCTATACAAAATTAACTATTTATTAATATAAATTATAAATTATAAATAAATAATTTTATCAAAAGGATTAAACATGTTTAAAAAATAGTAAAAAATTCAAATTATAAAGCTTATACAACAAAAATTTATTGAATGATATTATTGATTATCTGATATTTATATTATATAGTTAATTAAGTATTTTAAACTTTTGTAAATTTGATACAACAAAAGCTGAAACTTACAGATTTCAAATATAAGTCATTTTTTATCATATCAAAAGAGAAGTTTCAGTGAGTAGAACAATCAAGAATTGGTTTTAAAGATTTTATATTGCAAGCTTGACATGAATTTTTGAGTAATTCAAATCATTATGATGAGAAACAGATTGCAACATGTAATTCTCTAAGCTTTAAAGCCATTAATATGTATAATTAAATAATATAGCAGATAATATAGCAAATAATAATTATTATCTTATCAACTTCTTCTTTAACTTCAAACAGGACTGCTTGGGCAGCTAAATTTAAAATATACGAAAAACAACAAAATCATAAGAGATCTGAGTTTCATCTAATATATGAATCTTGTAGTTTTATTATTAGTTCTCGCACAAATATATTGTTATTATCCAGTGTGACAACTAGCAGCTAATCATTTTTAAAAAATAAAAATAAATATCAAATGTAAAAAATAAATATTGAATATAAAAGATAAATTATTATCTTAGAAGCTATATCAAATTTATATAATATATTGTAAAAATCTTCAGCTATATTTTACATCTTCATGCTTGCTTTTTAAAGAAGCAAAATCGATTACTAACTCTTATATTTTCCAATTATCATTAATATAATGTGTCATTGCTAAAATAAAGGTCTTATTATTAGGAAATATTTATAGATTAAGAGTGAATAAGATTTTTTATTCGGTAGCTACAAGATACAACTAAATAAAATAATGAGTTTTGCTTATAAATATCTTAAAATATTAATAAAATATATCTTGATTTTATTTTTTCCTTTACTATATAAATGCATTATTATATTTTTGATTGTATCAGTAATAGGTAATTTTACAGAGAGATTTAAGTATTTGAAGATTTTGATTAGTTTAGGATCTTCTGTGATTAATAATAAATATTAACAATTAATTAATCATATAGAAATTATGTCATGTAATTTTTCATTATTAATAGATTTGCTTAATTTCATATTTTTTATACTGGATGATGATAATTTTTAATAAAAGTATTATTTATTTCTCCAAGTGGCATTTCTGACTTTCCACTAATTTCAATTAATCGAATATTTGATGGTTTAGTAATATTTTAATTGATTTTTTTTAAGAATTTCTTTGATATAATATTACTGACTGATCCACTATCAATAATTATATTGGTTGATTTGTTTCCAACAGTTCCAATACAATGAACAGCGTCGACTGGTATATTATTATTATTATTATTATGATTATCTTCATTATTATTTTTATTTTTATTTTCTTGTTGATTGTTTAGTAGTAATTGTTCCAATTTTTGTTTAGCTGAAGATTTTATAGTTTTGGATGCACTCTCACCTTCTAAAGATGCATTTTTTAGTTTAAACGTTGATTATTGTTCTTGTTGGAAGATTGTTGATTATTTGATTGAATTAATTATTGTAATTGTTGCAAAAGGTTATCATGTTGATTATCAATATCTTCCATTCTTCCAAAGTTACTAGATTGTCGATTATTGCGATTGTAATTGTTATTGTTATTGTTATTATTACTGTTATTATTTCTATTATAATTATTTCTTTCATTGTTATTATTATTACTGTTATTTCTATTATTATTATAACTGTTTCTTTCATTATTATTATTGTGGTTGCTGTAACAATCTTTAGCAAGATGTCCAATTTTTTCGCAGTTGTAATATGAAATATTGTGCGATGAAGTTAGTTCTATTGTTGTTATTATTATTGCATTAAAAATTATTGCGATTATTATTATTGTTATTATTGTTGTTCAAGTTTTTAATTTGTTTAGTCAATTCTAATAAGGTTGTGTTAATATCAGTATTATTGGTTGTTGTGTTTGGTTGCATTGGTAATCCATAATTGTATGATATGGTTGAGGTTGTCAATGTAAATGAATTATTATAAGTGGTTTTGAATTCAGTTTCTGTTTCAATAGCAATAGAAATAGCTTTCTCAAATATTTCAGATTGATGCAAATTAATGAAAAAGGCATATTGTGGATTGAGACCTTTGGTAAATTCACGAATTTTGTATTTAGTTGAATAGGTATTGTCTGGGTCAATTTTGTGAGCAATGAGCAGATATTAGCTGCATATTGGCTGATTGATTCATTTGTACTTTGAATACGATTATTTAATTGTTGTTGCCATAGTAATAGTTAAATTTATGTATGAAATTCTTTTAGAAAACATGGTTTGAAAGAGGCTTCTTGGTTGTCAACATCATTGTAATGTATGGACCATGCATTATTTGCTTGCACTTGATTTTTGTACCAATGATTGGCAATATCACATAGGTATGTTGGTATAATGCGAATTCTTCTTTTATTACTCATATTATTAGTTCTTGTAGCTTGTTCAAATTCTTTTATTCAAGTAATTGGATTGTCTTGACCATTTTCATGAAATGTTGGAATTGGAATTGGATCTTGATTTTGATTGCTAATTAGATCTGCTAATTGTTTGAGAATGGCATCTAGAGTAGTCATTATTAGTGATGAAGATAATGGTGATAGTGATGGTGATTTGATTTTTCTGGTAATAATGGAGGTGAATCAAGAATTAAAGCATCTTGTTCTTCTTCTTCTTCAAAGTTTTGAGTTTGTTG